GAGGATTAATTAGATTTCAAGCTGACTAATGTATGTTAGTGTTTACCTGTTCTTATTGTATCATCATGATCACCTACTCACGAACACAACTCATGGATTTACAACAAGCATCTACTATCAGAACACTATCTCACAACAATTTTGTTTGTCTTAAAGAAGTTGGTATCCTTAAAAAATTTAGAGGGAAGCGTTCTGGCACCCAGAAGCAAAATCAGTCTTACTCTCAGACTCTTCCAGGGTCTTTGAAATGAAATGAAATGAAATGGAGTTTAACGTCCTACTGTCTGCTCCTAACCTGGGCTAATGAAGACGGGCATACGCCATACAGTGTGCTATGAGGGAAATTTTGCCCGGACAGCGGCACTACGGCCTACTCTTATATCGAATTCCAACTGTCAAGGGATCTTTTACGTGCACGCCAATGTGTACACGGGACCTCGGTTTTTCGTCCCATCTGAACGACTAGACAGCTTTCCTTGTCAGCCCCTCCGTCCTGCATCACTGACAAGGGAGAACCACGCCAGGGTCTTTGAAAATAGGTCTTTGGAATGCTCAGTCTGTTAGAAACAAAACTCTTGACATATTTGATTGCATAACCGAATGTGAATTTGATGTCTTTTTAATAACCGAAACATGGTTGTCTCAGAATGGTGACGAAGCCAGGTGTGCTGAAATGACACCACCAGGTTTTACTTGTGTTCACGCCCCACGAATAACTGGTAGAGGAGGGGGTATAGCTGTTATTTTCAAGGAAAACTTGCGGCTTCAGAGGCTTCACATAACGAAAACGTACTCGTCTTTTGAACATTTATCACTTACCATAACATCTGCATCAAAAACCCTAAGGATTATCTGTGTCTACAGACCGCCCCCTTCAAGAAAAAACAAGTCTACCGATTCAGATTTCGTAAATGACTTCAATAATCTCTGTGAAGATCTTGATTGCAATGATAACATCCGAATTGTTGGAAATTTTAACGTGCATTTTGATTCTCCTAATAACAAATTTTCTCTGTGATCTTTTGGATATTTACGACCTGGTACAGACCATTACATCCCACTTCTACTCGTTGCCACTGGCAACCTTTGATTAAACTGTCCTGTTTATTTTCAATACATGCTTAAAAGTATCCGTGTATCAGAAATATACAGAAAGAGTACTGTTCATTTCTGAGACACGGATACTTTTATACCGTTTTAGATACCTATCAAGCAATAAGTAGCGGACGTTTAGTCCGACCCAGATCGCAATTGATAACGATGGCTCTATACAATGCACAAGGAAAATGTACATGAAACAACTAGTCAAAATCATAGTAACAAAACAAAATGGGGGGAACTACATGGCAGTTCAAAAACATATACAATGACATTAAATTAACATAACAACATATTACAAAAATCAATTATTATACATATCAATTGGCATCTATTTCATAATTTGGTTTGATTTATATTAATATGCAAAATATATAAATTAGAATATTGAATAATTATTTTAATTAATTGTGATGATAGAAGGCGCAGTTCTCTTGCTTGAAAATAAGCAGGATGAAAAAAAAGCCTAGAAAGTCATAAACTTTATTACAAATAAATTTCAACGGAAGAACCATCCGCCGATGCATACTTTCACCAGGAATGACCCACGTTTCGCATTTCCTTTACACTACATTTAATAATATCGTAGTCCTCTACGCCATAGACAAGTTGTTTTGACGATGTGGTCTAAACAAACACGTGATTGTTTTACGCTCAGAGTATCATAGCAAGACGCACGTGTAAATACTACTCAGGTCGTCTCTCCACTGCGAAATCATTCTACCATGAAATGTAACGTGAGGCTCAGAAAGGTATAAATAATGAAAGAGCAGAAAGTATTTGTCACTTTTCGGTTGAAACGACTCGATAATTAATATTATTTTTCATATTTTGCTTCACAATACTCGATAGAAATGTGATGTAAGTAACTTATTAGCACCTTTCCTCGGTGTATCGGTGAATATCAGGACAGTTTTGGTCGGGAGCCGCCTCGGCTCCGCCTCGGCTGGGCCCCTCGACCAAAACTGTCCTGATATTCACCGATACACCTCGGAAAGTGTGCTAATAACTACTACTTACTCAGCCGACACATCGATCAGGACACACCTTGGACTGGGTTGCTTGCCGTAATCATGAACTTATTCATAATGCTGATGTCGTTGACAAGCTAATGTCTGATCATTTTGTTATATCCTTTAATGTCAATTTCTCAAACACTTCACGTAACAGCAGGAAAATACGCTATAGGAACTTCAAATCCATCAATATTGAAGAATTTAATACCGATCTTATGAGCAGCACTCTATTCACACAATGTTCTAATGATGTTGACTACATGGTAGCTTTACTCGATAAAACATTACTTACCCTCCTTGACAAACACGCACCCATCCAAACCAAAACCATTAACCATTTAAAGAAAACACCATGGTATGATGCTTCTGTAAACGATGCTAAGCGAATACGCCGAGCAGCCGAAAGGAAGTGGCGTAAATCAGGGTTAGTAGTACATAAACAAATTTACGCAGAGTGTCGAAAACATTTTATGAAATGTGTTAAAAATGCCGAATCACAGTATTTCAACAAGGAAATATCATCATGCTCAAGAAATCCGAAATTATTGTTCTCAACGCTAAACTATTTACTGGGAAAAGAAAAGACTGTCATCCTTCCAGAGGGAGATGATAGTATTGTTGCTCAAAATTTCAGTGATTATTTCATTGATAAAATCGATAGGATTCGTCATGGCCTTGGCTCTATTAACACACAGGGGTGTGATGACAGAAGGTCTGTAGTTCCATCAATTCAATTTGATTCATTTAATCCAGTTTCATCGGAGGAGATAAGGAAGATAATCTGTCAATCCAAACCAACATCATGCTCTTTGGATGCCATACCGACACATTTCCTGCTTAAAATTCTGGATGCAATTTTGCCCATTATCACTAACATCATAAACACGAGTTTGCAGTCTGGAATAGTACCGGAATGTTTTAAAACTGCAGTAGTCAAACCACTTATAAAAAAGTCGACATTAGACCCACAATTACTGAAAAAGTATCGACCAGTCTCGAATCTGACCTTTCTGTCCAAAGTTCTGGAGAAGGTTGTTAAACAGCAACTTCTTAGTCATTTAGAAAAGTTTCAACTCCTTGAGGAGTTCCAGTCTGCTTATCGCTCCGGCCACAGCACCGAAACAGCTCTGCTATGTGTTCTGGATGCCATAAAATCATCTGTTGATGAAGGAAAGATCGGACTGTTGGTCCTTTTGGATTTATCAGCAGCTTTCGATACTATTGATCACGGCAACCTACTGGATCGACTGTCATCAGATTATGGACTAACTGATCCATTCCAAAATGGTTTTCATCCTATCTCACTGGACGATTTCAGTATGTTGAAGTTAACAACTCCTCATCAAGTCATCAGCAACTCTTATGTGGTGTTCCCCAAGGATCCGTTTTGGGCCCGATAATCTTCACAATGTATACAAAAACGTTAGGTAAACTTATCCATGATCACAATCTGCTCTATCATTTTTATGCTGATGATTCTCAGCTCATTGATAGCTACAAGCCACTTCCGGTCGATCAAAATGCCGTCATCAAGAATCTGGAAGGGTGTCTCGATAATGTCAAAAAATGGATGGCATCCAATATGCTTAAACTCAACGATGAAAAAACTGAGTTTCTTCTCGTGGGTCCCGCTAACAGACTTAAGAAATGTGACATTCGATCGATAAACATTGGAAACACCGAAATTCCTGTGTCTAGAACTGTAAGAAATCTTGGAATTCTTGTCGATTCTCGTCTCAGTTTTGAAAACCAGGTGAACAACATCTGTAAAATATGTCATTTCCATCTCCGAAGGATAGGGTCCATTCGTCATCTATTGTAACTTAGTTTAAGTTTTTGTGAATAAGGGCCCGGGTCAACATATGCGCCACAAATTTCCCCGAAGATCCACCCACACGCTCCATCTGCGCACTCAAACCAAATATCCTGCGTCCGCAACTCTGGGTTATAATTCATATCCAACGATATAACGGGACAGAGAAAAGGGGTTGCAGGGTAGCCCCCCCCCCCATATACCCTTCTTAACTATCTTCATTTCGACCAGTCCTCTTTTAGAATCTATATTTATGGTTAAACGATTGAAATTGCGAGAGTTAGGAAGGTTATATGGTGGTGCCCAACAATCGTTTAACCATAAATATAATATAGATTCTGAAAGACACCTGGCCGAACCCTTGTTTATAGCTTGTTTAACCAAATCTAATTTCAGACGTTTAACTATTACATTAGTCTGACTAAATATTTAAAGCACGTTGGTTACAATATTTAAATGTGAGTCATTCTTTACTATTGTCAGCTGACTTATTCATTAATTGAACCACACCCATAAAGTAACGTAATAATAGGAATAGGTAAAATTCACAATAATTTGCAGACAGTCCTGCTTTCGGGGATACATTTAATTAATTTTCAAAAAAAAAAAATCCTCAGTAGTATTTTGTATGGCATTTGGCGATGCTCTTCATGGTTTATTTTTGTATTATATTGTTCTGATTCTGATTAAATAAAAATTTCAGGAGATAAGAAGTTTAAACATAGGGTATTTTATCGGTGAATTTAGAATTCTGTGTAAGATTAGTATTACTATAATAAATAGATAGTGGTTACCACTAGACAATCTAAAGTTCAGTTTATAATTGGCGATTACTGTACTATACACAAATAGGTAAGTATAGACATTATCTGATAAGTTGTTCAATCAACACAGGTATGACCATCTCTATAATAGCCACATAGTTTATGTCAATAATACGGTATTATGTTGTAAGAGCATACCTCTGTGAAATTGGTTTATTTAACGTTCGCGTCCACTGAGGTGATATCGCAGACAAAACAGGTAACACAGAGACACACAACGTTATACCAAATTTAATGGAATATGTGATCAATAAATGCCGAACCGTTGTGCTCTACTTTTAACGTATGTGTAAGAACAAGACATGTATACCGAACACTGGATATAGTTCAATATATAATAATTAGGTAGGTAACTTTAATGGTATATCATTACAGACTCACAAATTAATGATTTGTTTTTGTTTTTAAATAACATTGTCGCAACTTAACTACCCACCGCACATGAATATTTTCTACCGGATAAGCCTGTTAGGCTGTCAGAACTCCAACAGTTGTAATTATCGGAAATTTTTGAAAATCGTAAGCACTGTTTATAAATTTCAACATATCGGACGATAATTTAGTATAGGTAGCGCGTCTATACGTGGACGACGGGCGCAAGGACTGGCGATATAAAAAATAAAGAAATAGAAATGGAATGGATCAAATTTCTTCACATTGTAACATTAGATAATGTAGGTGCAGCATTCACCGATATACATATCTTTCGATGAATCTTGAAGAAAATAAACTATTGTCATTCCGTGACGGTATAGCCTATTACCTTGACTCAGGTAAGATGACAAATTGGTTTCATGAAATCATCAGTTATTTAGTTGGGGGCCCTTGTTCGTCATGGAGGAAATGGAATGGGGTATATAGACCGGGAGCCCAGGGGGTCGACCTAGCTGAAAAGTGTACCACTTTTCTCCTATATGGTATCAATGTATGTATATCTGGTATCATCAGAATGTAAGTCTGCCGGGTTTCTGGTGGTGGGTGTGGTATTCCACGCCCTAAATGCCATGATCCCCGACTAGGCTAGATTAGCTCAAAAGTGTCTTGGGGAGGGGGGGGGGGATAAAATCACGCAAAATTGTTCTATTTTATTCATCCTTAACATATATTTTAAGTTTCGTCTAAATCGGACATAAATTGTTGGCACGGGTCATTACCTAAGAATTTGCGGTCTGGTGCTGACGAAAATCATACTTTTGATCCTTAGCTATGTTAATCTTCATCTGAATCAGACCACAAATTAAGGACTCTAGTTTAGAGGGACTACACACTTTATTATTATACAGAATTCACATTTTCGTGAAAGGCAAAGGCCATAACCCAAGAAGTTGCGGTCTGATGCGCACCAAAATCGAACACATCTTTTACATATTTTTTATGCGATAAAATCACACCAAATTGTCTTATTTTCATATATTTTTAAGTTTCATCTGAATTGGGCCAACATTTTTCACAATTATTCGTAAAAGGCAGGGACCATAACCCCAGAAGCTGTGGTCCCATGCGCATCATAATCAAACCCATCCGATTTTTGTTGGCAATAAACATGTAAAGAAAAAAAAACACACACAAAAAACAATCACGGTTAACGTCGTGCCATATGTGTATGAAACATTGATGGTTTTCCATAGAAATTGTGTTTTTTTGATATGCTCAATCGCTATATGTCACTCAAGGATTTTACAATAAACATATCAACATCCGATAAAAATTGTGCACTCCAGACCGTCCACAAACAAATGTGAACGGGCGGATGGACGGACATTGGTGTCGACATAGACCGTCCACATAAAAATGTGGGCGTTTAAAAATCCTCTCCAAACTCTCCATGGGTCTAGTGCAGTGATTCTCAACCAGTGTGCCGTGGCACACAGGTGTGCAACGTGATCTCCCGAAGTGTGTCGCGAAATTTTGAACGGCACACTAAGAAAATGCGGAAAACCATGTGATCCCAATTTGAGTATCCATTGGTGTCTACTCATGGTAACTTCATAGGTGTGTTTTTCTTTATTTAGTTTGAGTCATTCTATGTTTCTATGACTAGTCTATGTCTACGGTAATATGCCATCTGAATTACCATGTTTTTATTTTGCAAAATTCAAATATTCTTCATATATATTTAGCCAGGTGTGCCGCTATTTTTTCACGTGTTCCAAGGTGTGCCGTTTGCAAAAAAAGGTTGAGAACCACTGGTCTAGTGGGTAATATTCTATGAAAGAATAGCCGAAAATTTCAACCACCTTTGAAAATGAAGGGCATTTTGAAAATCAAGTGGCTAAACTGACCCCAAACGGACATCGATGCAAAGTTTTGTGCATGTATACAAATTTTTACATTTACATATTGTTACATATTTTGATTTAATTTAAAAATGATGAAGCGAGGCTTAGCTTCGAACAACCAGTGCGGTGGTCAGAATTAATGCACACATCTTGTTAACTAATATTTTGGTTCGCAATAGAGTAATTTGAATGAAAATTTTAATATATTCATTTTGCATTATCTATTTTCGCACTATTATAACAAGAATAGCTAGCTATTTATCTAAATCTTACATAATGTATCTTTAAAAGTTTAATTATTAATCGTTTATCAATTATCAATAGCTAACCAATAATTATTATCTAGCAAACTTATATTAAAGGGCTAATCCCGATAATTTTTTGGAGAATAAAACTGTTTAATTTGGTTTTAAAATTCCTGAAAATCCCCTACCTAAGGGCCGAGCAACTAACTCAATATTTGTGATAAGTTTTCAAATAACTGAAACCCGTCAGTCTTCATCTGGAATTGGAGACCGGTGTCCCAAGCTGTATTATGCGGTGTCTAGATAAAACCAGACATTTTCTGTATAAAAATAATGTGTAGGTGAAATTTACCTTTCATTATCAAGTACAGCATTTGGGTCATTCACTGTATAGACCTCTCAATGAACGGGAATCGATTATCAGGTCTCCCAACGAAAAAATTGACCCGAAATCTTAAAAGAGTTACGTGTCCGGATAAGCAGTTTTGATGGTCACATCCAAACGACTCAATATTTTGAGCTGAAATTTTGAGATACGGTCAATACACCATTCCTCGATATTTTGGCGTTTAAATTTCATACATACTCAGACTTTTATTTTTGAGACTCTGTTCAAATAAGGGATAGTCCCTTTAAATGTCCGCGATCGCGTAGATAGTGAAACGAAAAATATCAAATATTAAAAAATAATATGATTATCTTTTTAATTTAGATATCCGTTTATAAGAAAATTAATAAACTAAGGTTTAACTACCTACGTATGTCCCAAGATCTTGGAATAAAAGCTGGACCTAACTGTAACCAGAGGTGTAACAATGACACGTATTGTTTCCATCATGGCAAGCGAGGAAAAGCTCTCATATTCAACCAAAGCGTATTTGACGATCTGCCGAGTAGACATGGAGCTAAACATGATAGAGAAAAAATGGAAAGCTGCTTCCGATATCTGAATTTTGATGTGGTAGTTCATAAAGAATGTACAGCAGAAGAAATATTCTTATATCTGGATCAAGGTAAAAATTGAAAAAAAAAAAATATAATATAATATAATACATGTGAAAATAATTAATAAATGATCATGAATATAAAGCTACATACCAAGTTTCATGTGGATCGAATGAAAAATGTATGCTCGTGTTCACAAATTAGTGTAAACGGACCAGACTGGGGACAACAACAATATACATTTACATTAAATCTAGGTGCATATAACAAAATAGCTTTTTTGTTTGTTTTGGTTTTTTTGCAGAAGCTGAAAGAGATCATGTAGATGAAGATTGTTTAGTTTGTATATTTATGAGTCATGGTTCAGATGGTCAAATTAATGCACGTGACAATTCTATTCAAATCTCAACCATCATGGATTATTTTAACAGTAAATCCTGTCCTTCACTTGAAGGCAAGCCAAAATTATTGTTTGTAAACGTAAGTAGATCGATCGTACTGTTTAAATTCTAGAGAAAGAGAGAGAGAAATGGGGTTTAACGTCCACTCGACACAAAATAGGTCATTTCGGGACTAACATATAGTTTAATTTTATTTCAATAATTCGCTTGCGCGTAGGGGTCTTTAGCAGTGGGAGGAAACCGGAGGACCCTTAGAAAACCCAAGAGGTTGGACAGGCGACCCTACTCCTTGTCACGTACAACCGGGGATTCGAAACCACGCCAGTTGACTTAATGACAGACTTTATGGTACAGCACGCACGTGCTAACCATTCAGCCACCCAACCCCCCTGTTTAAATTATTCTTGAAATAAATGAATTACCAATAAACCCCATAACAAGTGTATCTTCTTGACCAAGAGGACGTCACAAGATTACGTCTATAATGAATATACATACCAAAACAAACTCCGATCATAGATTTAAATGTGTCAATTAATACTCGCTTGTAATACCATCTCTGGGACTAATGTTTATAGAAATAACTACGAGTTCTGATGAAATTTTTCCTGTAAGCTTATTTAAAATCATTGCACATTTTTTTAGGCATGCCGTGGTGATAGATTAGATACGGGTATTGATGTTGTTGATGCTGCAAGTGTTGAAGATATTGTTGAAGCTGTTCAGATGGTGATACCTGTAGAGGAAGATTTTCTGCTTGCTTGCTCTGTTGTTTCAGGTCTTGTTGTTTATTTAATACAAGTACCCTTTTTTCCCATATTTTGATATGATTAAATCTCAAACTGAAAAATTCCAAAAAACACCCCTCTTTATCATCTAAATTGATAGTGCCAAGTGGTGTTTGAGATAGGGAATTAAGACACTTTGTTAACAAACTCATCGTGTTGAATGAAATCATCTACGACCAGAAAAAGTCCTCTTTAATTCATTTGATAAAATGAATTATTCTTATGGGTTTGATGTTGTTCTGAATTCTGAATTACCGTCTTCATTAGCCCAGTCGGAGCAGAACAGTAGGACGTTAAACCTCATTTCATTGTTCTGAATTAATAATTTCCTATTTTCACCTCATGACCCAGTATTTGTTATATATGATATGTGTTTGTTTTCCGGTTACGATAGTCGCGGTGGTTCAGTGAGAAAGGCACAGACTCGATCTCGGCGTTAGCCGAGAGAGTTCCACGGGATTTTCCAGCGTGGTTCCCCGTGGCAGTGGTGCAGAATGGAGGGCCTGGCAAGGAAATCGTCTTGTTGTTCGGGTGGTACGAAAAACTGAGGTCCCGTGTACACGTTGGCATGAACGTAATATAACCCCATGACAGTTGAAATTCGAAATAAGAGTAGGCTGTAGCGCTGCGCTGTCCAGGCAAACTTCCCCTGTATGATATACGCCCTTCTTTATTAGCCCAGACATTAAACCCCATTTCAATTTGTTTTCAGGTTACGCTTCAGCTAGAGACTTCAGAAAGGGGTCTTGTTTTGTGTCAGCTCTGGGAGAAGTATTACAAAAACATGGTAAATCAATGGACTTGATGAAATTGTTAACAATAGTCAATGCTAAAGTGGCTTTAGAATTTGAAAGAAAAGGAGGAACGAAGCAAATGCCATGTGTTTATAGTACTCTCACTAAAGATGTATTTTTATGAAACAATCCCGGTGTATTCACGGAGATGGGTAATCGTATGTGTGTTCACGGTGGAGAGTAATCGCATGTGATCATGTGTGTTCAGTGAACTTCACGATGAAGGGTAATCCACGTGCGATCATAAAAAGTAATCAACATCAATACAATGTGATACTAACATTGCTTCGTTGATAATTTGTAAACATGATTTTCTAGTGCTATATACCGAAGATAACATCGACCTGCCTATATATTTAAATTTTGTGTGTGCAGCTTTTATATTAGTTAAACGGCTTTGATGTGGAAAAAGAGCGGTTTTATAAAACATTAGCTATCTTCTAAAAATGGTCTACAATTCCCGAGCTTGGGACCAATCATCAAAATATTTGAGGAATCGCAAAAGCAAATAACAACCGCACCGAGTTTGATGTAGCCCCACCCCCACCCCCATAGTCACATATTATGTCACACACGTACAGGTGCTGCTACTTTTTTTTGCAATGCAACAAAAGGTTGTTTTTTGTTATATTTAATAATTATTATTTGTTAATGTGCAATTTTATCATAGTAATGGTTTACTCAGCAATAAAGATGTACTACCTAGTTTTTCATTTTCACAGGTTTAACACTTATAACCTGATGTATTACTTTTTAAGTATTATGAAATGATTTTTCCGGACTCTGGTGAGGAGAATATTAATGAAATGAAGTGAGGTTAAAAGTCCTACTGTGGTGGAGAATAGAACCAGAGAAATAAAATGAGATTTATGGCCCAATAGTTTACTACACTGACTGGGCTAATGAAGAAAATTTTGCCTGGACAGCGGGGCTACAGGCTAGGCTACTCATTTCGAATTCCAACTTTCAAGGGTTCTTTTACGCGCATGCCAATGTGTACAAAGGACTTCGGTTTTTGCTACCATCCGAATGACTAGACACTGTCCTTGCCAGGCCCTCCGCCCCGCCTGACCACTGACAAGGGAGGGGGTGGGGGCACGCTGGGAAATCCCAAGGAACTTTCAAGGGTAACACCGGGAGCAAACCCGAGACCCTGTCATTGTTAGCTAACCAGCGTCTTAAGAGATACAGAAAAAGAGAGTCCCTTATACACAGACAATTTATATTTGTCCTAGACGAGACAGTTACTCACTGAATAATGATGCGTCTCAAGAGCAGAAAATGTGGGGTTTCACAACTTCCTGTAGACTTGTTACAATCTCCGATTATCGACTGTAGTTTACAGATTCACAATCCACCCAATACCCCGATCAGACAAATCTACACAACAACCGATTTAATAATATACACAAATGATAAAAAGATATTGGGACAAATGAGTATAAGTACGAGTATAATAGCGTTGATCAGAATCAATGTACAGGATTACTCACCGTACTCAAATTTACCAGTATTCGGTTGAAGTATTCTTTGTACTCGGTGCTTGTACAAGATTTCGTAACAAAGTGGATCAACTCAAGATCGTACGTAACTAACCTACGAAAATTAAATGGTAGGGTGAGTCTGTCGTTCAGATCGACTCAAGATATGACCATTGCTGGCAGACATCAAAAATCAAGGTGTCAGGGTTAAAACTATTCTAGCAGCGTGGCTCTGGACTACAGTCTAAACAGAAAAATGGCTAATCTATGTCTATATATGGTAAAAGGTTATTCAATGATTCTGTACATCTTAAATTAAGATACTTGAAACAATGCAGACACACTGCTTAATTTAACCACAGGAGTCTGACCTTCTATCCGTATATATATGCATACACCATGTCCAACCAGACAATATATTATATATTGTCTGGTTAGATATGGTATATGCATATATACACGGATAGAAGGTCAGACTCCTGTGATTTAACAGAACACAAAAACTTTTGAGTAAATTTTGATAAATTTATTCAGGTTAATATCCCATAGAAAAGAATTTATTCAAACAATATCATATTACTATTTGACAAAACCATATCACATGATAATATGGTGTATATAAAGGTAACAGGACTCCTCCAATATTCTATGGGAATAAACTGACAAAACATACAATATCACACAGGTATTTCTAAAATAATTATCACTGAAACTAAAACAAAATAAACTGGAAGCTCAAATTAATATCAGCAGATTTAAGTCCAGTGTACACCAAGGATCATTTGTCAGCCATATTTCAACAAATACAGTTCTATGCAATGTTAATGCATTGTCCGTGTGCAGCACTCAGATCACACTTACAATATTGATACATAGTGTAATTCCTGCCCAACAGAGCAGGGACTACACTATTTTCATATTTATCTCTTCTCTACTTGTATCATTTAATGATCCAGTAGATACACCAATTTAATTGAGTTGTCCAACATTTTTTACTCTTTCAAGGGAGTGTTGCCATCACAACTGTATCCCCCCAAAATGGTCATGTTGTTTTAGAATCCATACTTTAATAACAGTGCTAGTTTGTTTGATACTCTAACCAGTGGCAGGCCAACATCTTGAGAACAGTATAAAGATAAACCCTTATATTGCAACATAAAGTGACTGGACCACAACATATTATTGCTGAAGACTTTTACCAATAAGAAATCTGTGATGAAAAACTGCTGTAGTGAATGCTGATTATCAACAATGAGAAATGTTAGTCACAAATAATCCTTGCCTTGCACTGGCTTTTATAATTATTATTTTCAACTGTTTTTCCAACTGAATACAGAGAACAATTACATCAGAAGCTAAACCCCTTTGATTTAGGTAACAAAAATAAAATGCTGAATTGTGTTGTGGAATTTCTATTAATGATGGAACAGGCTATACAATTACAAGTATACTTTCTGTTTGTAAGAGTTTACTAATTTAAGTTCCATTTGTGACTGATCGTTGACAACAAAATCAGTTAATGATATATCAAATTTTGGCCGTGCACCTAAATAAAAGAGGTTGTGCCAATTTAAACGGAGACAAACAATTCTGTAAGTAATAATGAATTTTTGGTTTTAACTCATTAAAATCGAAAGTTATAATGAGTCTCAATTCTTTGTTTTGAAAATGGGGATGACATATTAACATGCTTTAAAATACAGATGTGACATCATCCTTCGATGTTGGCGTACCATTATTTCCAATAATGTACGAGCAACTTGCCAATCATACATTATCTATACTAGATGAAATATTGGACTCGCGTGACGTATTTCATTGAAGCGTCTGTATTTTAAGTTGTTTAATGGTCTCGAGCTAAAGACATTGCGTAATATATTGATGGTCTCGAGCTAAAGACATTGCGTAATATATTGATCAATATATTACGCAATGTCTCGCTCTCGACCATTAAACCATACATATAGAAGACATTTGAGCATGAAAAACCTTTAACATCTTCAACATCAGCAACTATTAAGAATTATGTCTAATGAAAATAATGTTAACTTTAAAAAAAAAAAAAAGATATCTTCATAGAATGTGATTTTCAAACATTAATTAGCTATCTTTACAGATTACATTTGTTTAAAAAATATTTTGTAATACATGTACATGTTCCATATTTAACTGAATAAGTCTTAATATTTACCACCAAATTTTAGTAAAATTTAACTGAATAAGACATGTCAATATTTACCACCAAATTTTAGTAAAATTCATCATTCTATAAAGTGCACAATTTGGTGAATAAAATGACACCCTAATACAGATTTGTATGCTAATTTCACTTGCTAAACACATTGCAGTTATAAATTCAGAAGGATGTAATTCAGCAGGAACATCGGTAAATATAGAAGCAAATCTATTTTCTTTTATGTGCATATGTTGTTTTTTTAAGTGGGAGAGAACCCTCAGTGAAGTGCATGTGATAGAGTATACATGCTTTACAGATTGAATATAGTACAAACAGATTTCAGAGATTAGTAACATCGTCCAAATGATTAATACTAGTTTTTATGTACATGTTTAAGTATATTTCTTTGGTGTTGAATACTCTATCGCTGATTAAATAAAAAGAGTACTCATATGAAAGGTTTGATACTGGAATGTACATCTAGTTATAATAATAAAGCAAACAGTATCCAAATAAATTATTTGTCTAAAATGGTGGGTTATTTTATTACAACAGCAGTCTGTAATTATTCAACAGAAAATCAATTGTTTCAGAAAGTAACTAAAACTTTCACTGAATCAAAAATCTTTGGGACGTCTGTATGCGGTATGGGTTCCATGTTGGCTGTATATGCCAATCAAGACTGAGGGCTAAGGAAAATGACTGACACTAGATCTGACCCATCCGCCATTTTGCATGCCGGAAAAATAGCTTATTTTTCAAAACCCAATTTCCAAACATGGTTACGAATAATGCACACATATAGAAGCCACATAATCACATAAATTCCGTTTCAAATTTAGAAGAAGACAGAAAATAATTGTTCTAAATACCATTAATCATTAAGCTAGAACTGAAAAATTCAAATTCACTAAATTTAGTCTTCAGCTAATGCATTATGCTGTGTACTTATTTTCTGTCTTCTTCTAAATTTGAAACTGAAATTTATTGTACAACTTTAGCTTCAGTGAGACAACTGTATACACCCTTTATCTCATCTAAACTGACACCTTTAATCCAAAATGAGTAATTTCTGTATATAATAATTCCAGTACTCACAATATGGTTGTATTGATTGCAATAAGATTAAGATAATGTTTTAGGTTTAATCTGTTAATTGATGTCCCTTTCGACGAAGCAAAAATACAAAAAAATAAATGTCAATCAAAACAAAGTTGTAATTGATGAATATGAAAGACTATATACAAATCAAGTCACATTATACAACTTGTATTATAATAATATATTATATATACAAAATACATATTAATAGCACATTATGCCACTTCATAACAAAAACAAAATTATACAAAACATATTAAATATTGCAATAATAACAATTAGTTACTGTAGCCAATACATAACCAGCTATGTTTTACAATCATCAAAATTCTAAAGGATAATATAGTAATATTTATACTTTTATAGATAGTTCTTTTGTCGACAATTTGCTTAATATCGTAAAATAACACTGGTCTAAATGATTTTTGTACTATAATAAATGCAGAGAAAAATATTGCATTTGTCTTCTATCAGATCACAAACAGAAACATGTCATCATGCCTGTGTTAGAATTTCACAACCTTATCTCTGGATAATATATATTCCAATATATTAAGATTAAAATAGAATAGTCTATGTCTCATACAGTAATATCACAAATACATTATTGTATAGTCAAATTACTCCATGTCTATGTCTTTGATATAGTAATATCACAAATACAATATTGGTAGTCAAATTTACTCTAGCTCAAAATAATTTTTCATATTACAAAAACTGACATAATTTGAACAATTCATAAATGATCATATGTTTTAAAGTTTCTACATAATTTTAAGGCATATTACCACGATTTCCTCTGGTAGTAATTAGATCTAGTTTATAAAATATTAATTAATGCTAATTATGATATGTTCAATAATTAATATGAGCTATGTAGTAAAAGATTATAAATGTAAACACATGCACAAACTATATCTTTTGAGCTTTAATAACAAGAGCAATATAAATCCATGCATTGACACCAGAATGGTGACTTTAGATCACATGTATACGATGGGAGATAACTATTGAAGACATAATCAAAGCAAACACATCAATTGCTTCAACACCTGAACACTACAATTAAAATATAATGAAAGTTCTATGCCATTCTCTGTTAGATAAATGAAATGTATTAAAGGTAGATTCAATACTAAATCATCAAAACATTTTACATCCTTTGTCTTGGGGGGGGGGGGGGGGCGGAACCCAATGTCTAAGTATCTGAACTCAAATAATTCTTATGGATTACACTTACATCCAAAGGAACTGTTGATAGTTTTGCTGAGAATTCTTGAATGTTGACTGATCAATTCCATGACCATATCTATTAGTTTCCTCCTTTTCACAAGGTAGCTATTTTCTAATAGTCAAGAATTTTTTTTTTATTGCCTTTATATTACTTCTAACTTGAGACAAAGAGTACCAAGTCAAACTGTGACAGTGGTAAAAAGAGGAAAAGAAAGTAAGAGCGACCAACTAGCCCTAATGGTGTTCAAGAATGCCTATCACAGCAAAGACTACCTTTCTCTTTTCCCCAAACACATTCACAAGTAATACATGTACACAAACAGTCAAATAGAAATTATGATAGTATCATCTAAAATTGAAACTCATTCAGTAATAACAGTATTGCACTTATTAATAATCATGTAAAAAAAAAAGTCAAGATGATATTAATAGTCAAAATCAGTAATCAGTATCTGATGTTAATCTAGTCTGTCAATAATGATTCATTTAAATACAAATAGGGCAATACAGTTTATTATAGAAAAAGAATACATTTTGTTATTCTGAACCCCCCAATTACTGTTTTAAATAAGACATCATTCCATGGTGTGGATTGGTTTTATCATCTAATTTGTTTAGATTTTATGCAATCCAGGGATGTTTTTGTGTGTAATATCAAATAGATATGATCTTTAAGTTAACGTTTATTATAATATGATGAGACTAAGACAAAAACTGGTTTCCAATCCATATTTCGTTTAAGTAGTTCAGATTTTAAGAAGCTGGAAGATTACACTTTAATTCACTACTTTCCTTTAATGAATTATTGAGCACAATGAACTATTAAGACAAGTTACCTGTTGATAACACAGTCTTATATTAATTATGATTTCCTTACAGGTACAATGTGATTGCACTGATTATTTACTATGCTGTTTTCTGTCGACTAATTCGGCGAAGCATGATATCTTTTGCTTTACTATACCTAGAAAATAGAAATAACAGTCATATACACAATAAGTAAAAAAAACATTTTAATTGTATAATTAAATTGCAAGGTGGTATATTAAAGATACATCATGTAAGATTTAGATAAAGAGCTAGCCATTCTTGCTATAATAGTTCGAAAATAGATAAAGTAAAATGAATAATTTGAAAATTCCATTATTCATATTACTATATTGTGAGCAAAGATATTAGCCTTTGAAGGTTTGACAAGACATGTGCAATAATTTCAACCACCGTACCGGTTGTTCGAGGCTAGGTCTCGCTCCTCCATTTTTAGCTAAAATCAAAAAATGGTTGAACTGTTCTAATCTATTTAATATCGGAGAAATCTGATGCCATCAAGAGTTGATTATGGTCTGGATAAGTTAATTAATGTCTAATTAATAAGTTAGAAGACATTTCAGGCCTAAATAAAGACCTGCAATAGGCAGATTTAGCTCTTGCATGATGTATGTTTAATGAAATGATTTTACTGACTTACAATAGTCAAAATCCATGTTCAAAGTCTTATCTAGTCATATTAAATCAACTTACTTTTGTTTTATTCTATAAATATCTTTCTCTTCATCTTTTTCAAACTTAACTAAAATTCCTTTAAGAGCTGCCTCTGGTAATATTAATAGCTGTTCAACCTATAAAAATTTATTACATATGTAATAATATCAGTCAGTGATCGCGTTGGTTCTGTTCCTATGTAATTATGTAGGTTATAATAAAATAAAACCAAGTACGAACCATCCAAACCATTAGACAAAATTCGAAGTCCTAAAAAAACGGTATAGGCAAAATAATATATCTAAAGAGATACTAAACAACAAATACTTGTAGTTTTCATCTCTGTACCACCTCTGACATGAGATCAAATGTATGGAGAGTGTAGCAGTCCTTGGATAAACCATTATTGTAATAATGTTTGGTTACAATCATAAAACTTGCAAGATTCTCCTCAGTGAAAGATTATTCTATATCAATTAATCTATTTTAGGTACCGTATCAAATAAACAGAAGTAATAATATGAAATTTACATGATTCTGTACAAATATATTTTTTGCTGAACAGATTTTTAACACTAATTCATTTACCTCTTCTGGTAAGTTCTCACTTTCTTCGGTTTCTATTATTGGCATATCAACTACTGTTCCTTTTGGCACATGACCAACTTCTTTTATAAAAATCTTGGCCTGGTTTTCATCGGGACCAAAGTTTAATCTGTGTAATAATGGATAATCTGTGTCTTTTAATAATTTTTCCTCTACAATATAAATTATATTAAGCATTAACATATAAAAAAATATCACTTCAATTTAACTAAAAACATCATTATAGATTTTATTAAAATAAACAAATATAATTATAATTCTATATATTTCATATATCACTCCCCTAATTATATACACCCACTGCAGCTAAGTTGTCAGTACAGTCCACAAAGGTTGTTATATGTATTCTTTTGTAGGTAATTGGGGCATCATTTAAAAACCAGTAACCCTAGGCAATACTCAAGTGTATAGGTAACAATCCATTAAGTAACTCAGATTTTGCACACAATCTAAAAAAAACCCCACCATCTGCAGTGATGTGCAATAGACCATGGACCTTCCTGATACCTCTTCCCTATCCCACCCCTTGAAATAATTACATGTTAGTTATAACAATTATTATACAGACATAGTCATAAGGAACTAAATATTATAATTTATTGATCATACCTCCAGTATCTAAGACAACTGTTAATACATACTCATCGGGTTGATTTTCCACCTGTTTTCAAAAAATATAGACTTTTTATACAATTTTTAAAAAATTGAATCAAAATTATGAAATCTGTTGGAGCTATAATAAACAGATATATAGATACCTAGTCATTTTTTATATAAAATATACCAAAAAAGCTGTGGAAGATTTTTACTTGATATAGTGAAATAGGTCTAAGTGTTATCTCCTCATAATTATACTTGGAGATATCGTTTAATATCAAAAAGCTGATATAACTTGTGGAATGCTTTACTGATGGATAATATATACATATTTTAAATGAAACTTCAGTAGAGAAGTATCAAGAAGATATCTGAAGATTTTTTGGTACATCACCATACCTTAAATTTTTCTAGCAGTGTTCTAACAACATCCGGTGTCCTCATATTATTTGATACCATGACACTTGTACAGCTACCTAATACAGGTGTAAATACACTCGTCTGTAATTACATAATTATATATATAAATATACCAACCATTAATAAACCAAGAACATCAGTATTAAAATATCTCTCATCTTCAAATTATTCATTTTACATCATCAAATTGAATCTTAATGTGATCGGTTTTATAGTCTCGTATGAATAATATCGTACATTGGTCGGCAATGAAAGATATTGTCCATTGGTTCTATGGTGGCTGATGAATAGTATCGTCCATTAGTTCTAAGGTCGGCAATGAATAGTATCGTCCATTGGTTCTATGATTGCCAATGAATAGTAGATGAATAGTAACGGCCATGCGTTCTATGGTTGTCAGTGAATGGTATCGTCCATTGGTTCTAAGGTCGGTTAGTCGCTGATGAAAGGTATTGTCCATTGGTTTTATGGCGGCTCATAAAAGGTACATAAAATAGTATCGTACATTGGTTCTACTTTCACCAGTAAATTGTATCGTCCATTGGTTCTATGATTGCCAATGAATTGTATCGTTAATTGGTTCTATGGTTGCCGATAGATTGTATCGTCCATTGATTCAATGATTGCCAATGAATAGTATCGTCCATTGGTTCTATAGTCGCCGATGAAAGGTACAGTACTAGTATAAGAATAAAACTGTTGTTATGAGAAAAAGCCTATGTTCATTGTACAATTATTCTAAGTCTTCTAAGAATCATGTAATAGTAGGTATTTCTCGTATCTTTAAAACATCTCAGATTCATGTTCTAATTCAGAAGACTTGCATTTCTACTGTTTAGGATATTTGTAAAGAAAGTGGGCAAATCACTAATATTCAAAACTCAACTTACATCATAATTATATATATGACCATTAATTGATGCTCTCTTCCATTTGTTTGGTCTGTCTCCTCTATATGCTACTGTATTAAACTTTCGAATTCTCCGAACCACGACATCAGAAGTCGAAGACAGAAAATTGTCGTCCATGGTGCTTGGAGTTGGTGATTTGGGTGGTGGGGACTGAGGAGTGGGGGATAGCTACAAAATAAAATGTTAAACAATTCTGCACACCATATATCCATTACTGTATATAAAAAAATGAGGGAAGGTTTGCGTTAGTTATAATCATTTAGACCTCTAACTCTAAGAGTATTTGTTAGGTTAATATATCAAAATTGATTACATCTTGCTATGGATTGTGTTTTCATTAAATTTATAGGCTTAACATGAAAAACAAACATTAAATTCGTTTTCATTACCTTTTTTTCCAAAGTAAGGTGTTTTTTCCGATAACATTGATTTTTAACATAAAAAGATCCAAAGCTTTTCACGATATAGCAGCAACCAAAAGCCAAAGTGATCAATAGATAGCCACTTACAAAGCATGTATGTACTCACCAGTCGAATTGGCTTATCAATTTTAACTGAATCTTTAGGGTAGTATAAACTGTGTCTCCAAGAAGCCACTGGAGTGGCAGGCAGATCATCACATTGTTTTAATCGAATGGGGTTCCCGACACCCCAGTAAATTCTTAACGGACCATTTATAACCAATTCTCCTTCTTTCTATAAATATAAAACAATAACACATTCATCAATTAAATGAATATTTTTATTATTTCCAATTTTAATTGTAACCAATAATTCACATGCTAGATAAATCATTTAGCATCATCTGAAGATTAGAATTTATGCAAAATTAAAATCTGCCCCATTATAGAATGACAGATTTGTCATAATTTTACATGTACCATAATATATTATACTGATAGATGATCATTAGGCTTTAAATAAAAGACATAAGATCTTGTCATCTACACTATTATCTGGGTTGTCAATTTATATTTTTTGTTGAGACATAAACATTTAACCAACACTCAATTCCTGACTTGTTTTACACCGATTTTAATTTGTGGAGTTTACCTAACAAACACACTTGAAGGGCACTTATGTAATTAACCAACACTGACAGTACACACTCCTTTTGTCCAGATCTTACTTTCAAATAGAGTTTTATGAGAAAGCTAATTTCAACTGTTTTGTACAAAATAGTGATTGACTATTAGAAATAATAAAGCAGGAACAGCCACATACTTTCGATGCTATATATATATGTATTTTGTATACACATATCAAATTAGGTAACATCATATACAGACTTCAACAAGTAAAACTAAACTTCATTAAAATTATAGTTCTAATGGTCAGCCTAAATAGTTGATTATAACCATATTATTTTAGCTATTAGGAAAATATTATCATATAATTTAGAACATGGTTAGCAGATGGTAGTTAGGCCATAGGACAACTGCCAAAAATAATACCATAAGATAGCATTATCTATTCACATATTTATGGTTAAGTGGAACCAAAGAATTGAGGATATGAGTGGTCGACTTACAGCTACCATCTGTATATAAATAACAGTATTGATGAAATATAGTAGTATATTCATTCATTAGGTAAAAATTTAAATAAGTTAATTATTATTAACTGTTAACTAATGTTTGGCAGTTTGCATGGTAATCACACTCATTGCTAGTGCAATTTTCTACTTAACACTCTTCTCCTCTAAAATTGATGAAAACAGGCATTTTCTCTCTAAAATTTGTCAACTTAAAAACTATGCAATGTGAAACAAAAAAGGAAAAGATACACATGCGCACCAGCATTTGAGTTGGTCAATCTATTTAATAGGTTTGTCACTAAGTGACATTTCATTCAATTCTACATTAATGCAAAACTCAATGGTTATTTTACAAGATTTATTGTAATTCATCTAAAATGATCTAACAACTCTACAAAGATGAACAGCTGCCAGTTTTCTTTTCTAATTCTTTTGTTATTAAAATGAGGTCAAAATAACTTTTTGTGGTATCTAAGATAAGACCTATTTTTGTGCTGGTATAAAGTTTACCTTAGTAACTAATACCATCAATTCAATGGAAAATATAAATCTATATAACTCATGAATACTGTTATCACCTAATATATTGTGATATATTTAAGATAGATCTATGTGCATGTAGTTTATACCTTAGTTACTAATACCACACAGATACTTATAAAATAAAACAAACCACAATATAATTGTAAAGAACTCACCAATTCTGTTGTCACCTGATGTCGTACTTTTCCTTTATAATATCTATTATATTCTTCTACTTTATCCTGCATTTCTTGTCTATAATAGAACAATATCTGTGTTTACTTTAAACAGGCTAAAGGTACATACAACATATGTATATCTACATGCATGTATCTGTCAAATATATACATGTACTCATCAATTACAACAAGTTAATGATATAAGTATCTACCACATATCCTGGTCTTAGTATAATCAAATCATAACACATTTTAATATCATAAGGAAGTAGTTTTGCATGTATCGATAAACCTTGAAATATCTGCCTCAAGTACATGTAGGCTACTCCAGGGCTGATTTTTAACTGTGTTTAAACACCTGTCAAAATTTGGGTCAACTTCACTTTAACATTTGAAGCAACTAACCTATTACCGTCCAACAAAACTCTAAGTTTCAAAATGGCATGCTTATTCATAGACACATATTTACTTGAACTGGTGTCACTTATGTCTTTGTACAGTATTCATTTTAAAGCAGCCATTCATTAATACTAATTTATTGTTTTGAAATACATGTATATTCTAAACAGTCTTTCAAATCAAGCACCTGAATTTGAATGTGAGATCCAAGACATTGAATTTTCTTTGGTTCAATGGACAAAAAATAAACAAAATAAAAATGTAATGTATTGATCTTTTAAAGCAATTCAAAACGTAATACCAAACCCTTATAAATGGGCTTTATTTTATTCATCATGTGCCAATTGGGCAGTCATCTTTTAATCTCATGATAGTGACAAATGGCAGCATGCCACACCCAATGAAATTATTTGGCAAGTGGACAGTTAAGATATAAATTTGATTGCATAGTTAAGAAAATGTAATCTACTAATAATACTAGTATTATCTGTATTCAAGACAGATTTATCCAATGGTGAATACCATCAACAATTATAACAATAGCCAGATCAGTACTGTCTATTTTCATTACATGTATTCAATACCAGAATGATATATTGCTTGTGTTATAGCCAAATAGAATTTTATTGCATTGCAATGCCCTTTTAGGACAGCATACAATATGTATAGGTGAAAAATATAAGGACAAGAATTATACACCGGTGCAAATTCAGTAAGACAATACAAAGCATACATACAAGATACATGTTATATATATATATATAAAAAAAAAACCCAATATGCGCGCATAAAATACATACAGGTAAAAAAATATTATGAAAACATATGAATCAATTATCTCTCCTGAAAAAAGAGAACTACACAATTGCTGCAAACTGTCAGTATACATTAGTTCCAATCTCATTTCACCACGAGACGATTCCTTATATCTATTCAGCCAGTGCTTTATTCAGATTTCTGCTAATTCACTCAATTAAAATAATCTTGTATCTGGGTTTGGGGGGGGCGAGGGGGGGTGGGTGTTGTTATTTCAGATGAGGGGAATAGAATGATTTATATTCCCAGTAATATGAACAAACAGAAATTTGAGTGCAAAGTAAATGGCTATAGTGACTAGATAGTAATGAGTTGGAGATATTCCATGATGTACATCAAAAACTTTTACCACAATATCATCGGACAGGATCCAGAGCCAGCAGAGGATTAAAAAAAATCTCTGAGGTATTTTAACCCTATGCTGAATTAATCATCAAGCAAATGTTAATTTTTGATGGATATCAAAATAAATAGTTAATGCCAAAGAATAATTACATTGAGTTGCACAGGATCTTTTAACCACAAATTTGTTGAATATAAAAGAGCAGAGATTAATTCAATTCGATCAGACAAAATTACAAAACAACACAACAGCCTGGGGAACTGGAATGTTTTCATACAGTACTCATATTACTAGACTAAAATGTCAATATACTACAACCACATAGAAATGAAAAGAACTAACTTTATATCAATTACTGACACAGTATATCTTATTTCGCAGTTTCTATACACATTAACTAACCTGTATTCATCTGTTCCTTTATATCTTAACATATAATTACTTAGACTTGAAACAACTTGAGACTGACGCATTGCTTTACCATTATTATTCATTTTCATAGCTTATCTTTGGAATAAAATCCAACAAGAATGTCTTAATAGTATCAACTAAACTAACAAATAAAATTCTAGATCAAATTATTATCAATTACACAGACTGGTAGTATGATGTCAGGAAATGACCGAAGTTCCTTCCTTTGACTAAGTGAAAGCTTTAAGTAAGGTCATATGAAACCTTCCATTTATTAGACAATTAGTAGTCAACAACATGTATGATCACAGTGTAAGTAATACCACAATTAATCTAACAATGGAAATGATATGAAATGGGGTTACGGTTAAACGTCCTACTGTTCTGCTCCGACTGGGCTAATAAAGATGAAATGGAAAGTTGGGGTTTTTTTTAACATCCCAGAGACTACTTCTATACATTTCTTGAAGACTCTCACCAGTTTTGGATCATACTAGAAGTTATTAGAGGGGTTGTGCTTGTGCATGTTAAAAGCACCGGATCCCACATGCCAATGGGCTGACAGTGGGACCCTGATCTAAGTATCATAGTGGTGATTGTATTTGGGAGGTAGAATGATGGACCTAGAAAATGTTTATCATCATAAAATGTTTTATTTCATATTTTCATAAATATGATATAAATATTAACTGGATACCTCACTTCTTCCATGTAGCAATTTGTCATCTAGTGTCAAACAAAACACTGCACAGTCTTGCATGTTTGCTTTAAAAATTCAACAATTTTTGTTTTGCACATCCATTACTTTAAAATCGGATAACCACAAATGATTGCTATCATATCATTCAATATTCAATTATATTTTTTATCAATACCATTTACATCATTTTATGATGATAAACATTTTTTTCAATTGATTTCAATCATTTTGAGACTGAAAAAAGGGCATCAGACATTCAAATTCTCATCAGAGCGTAGAATTCCTGTCATTTTTATTCTGGGATTGGTTGTGTGCAGTATTGCTTTGTATCTAACATTATAAGCATCGTTTAACACATAGATGGAAAATATTCATTTACTTTTAATCACTGCAACTTAATACTCAATATCAGTTTACATGCAGTCAACACAGAAAGTGATTCTGAATTTCATTTATGGATATGCGACTGGTACATGGATGGTAAAGGAATGGCACCATTATTATGTAGATGTGTATGTTGAAATAAATGGTAGCCAAAACTTTAGAAGTTATTTAAAATAGCCATTTCAGAACTGTCCAACTAAAAGTACCGGTACATATTGGGTAAATATAATGCAAGTAAAGTGTGGTGAAAAGATTTAATTGCTGTCTACGGTCTAGCCCATTCTATTTCTAAACTAAAACATATTTTCTGGATATAGGTTCAGCCTATATCAATTTGTAAACTCTCTAGGCATAGGTATGCTGGGGTCACGGTGGCTAAGTGGTCAAGACCATGGCTCGCTAGCCTGGAGGTTGGGTGTTTGATCCCTGCATTGTCCGAGAAAGTTAATCCAGATTTTCCGGCGTGGTTCCACCTTGTCAGTGATACAGGACGGAGGGCCTGACGAGAACAGCTGACGAGAACAGCTGTCTAGTCGTTCGGATGGGATGAAAAACCAAGGTCCTGTTTACACATTGGTATGCACATAAAAAAGATCCCTAATTGACAGTTGGAATCCGATATAAGATTAGGCCGTAATGCCGCTGTCCAGGCAAAATTTCCCTCATACGACATTGTGTGGCGTATGCCCGTCATCATTAGCCCAGTTTGGAGCAGAACTGTAAGACGTTAAACCCCATTTCATTTCATTTCATAGACACACTACTATAGAATACTGCAACTGTCTACACATGTAGCCTACAATATCAATACAACAATAACACTACGTTCTTCAATCAGGACTGACAATTTACTGATTAAAGGCCAAAATTAAAGAGATCGGTCTTAATCCTGTACCGTACTAGATATTATACATATCAAAACATTGTGGCAAATATCATTCATATTATAACCAAACCAACACTCAAATGCAACACCAACAAAATGCCTGGCACTGATGCCTATAAATAGAGGAGAACTAAAGTGAGTAGATTTTTTTTTCCATTATGCTGGTGTTTTCAGAATATCTACAGAAATCTATATATTGGCAACAAAATTATGATGTCCTTACCCAGTCATAAACAAAGAAACCATGGCAGTCACATCACTTTACTGAACATAAATAAACATGTGATTTTTGTTATGTTATCATCTGTAGTCCCACCAGACCAACCTACTGCCATCTGGTGAATGGGAAACATACCTTTATTCAAGGGAAACAACTCCACATTGACCTGCTGGTTGAACAGATTTAGCAGAAAGTGTACCTGCTGACAAGTCCTGGAAATAAGGTACCTGTCACTGACAACGTCAGGCACAGGTTCAGGCTTTGTCAGGCACTAAACCTCTGGAGCCTGTCATTTTGTCTGGCACTGATTTGTCTTTTTTATTGATATTATTAAAACATGTCCGGCATTAAGTTGAAAATGTCAGGTACTATTTCATTAGCGCCTGACATTTTGTCAGGTACATGTAAAACCGTTATTTCCAGGCCTGAGAACTACCAATGTCCAGTATATAGTTTTTCGTTGTTTTATAGTTAAAGGCATATTCACGGTAACCTTAAATTTAAATAACACCAGCTGTTCTAGCATGTACAAGCATACTCTGCCTTTATATACAACACTTTACTATTTTTTTGTGCTTGGATTTTAGAAGTCAGGGGCTCAGGGCTGAAATAATTTAGGCTAAACCAATTTAACTTTTAGTTGGGTTCTTAAGGGACTTGCTTAAAATGTCAAAACTTACAACTTAGAAGCTAAGTAGTATTTGTTTTTAATTATTTATTTTTCGCAAGAATGGCTCATTGAGTAAGGTGCTGACTCACTAACCGGAGCTAGGGTCCCTGGTTCAATCCCATGTTTGGTCGAAAAATGTTCCTGAGGATTTTTCAGCATGGTTTCTAACCTGTCAATCGTGCCGAAGACAGGACCTGTAAAAGCAAAGCTCTAGTGGTTTGGATGGGATAAAAAAAACTGCGATCCTGTGTATATGTTGGCATGCACATAAAAAGAAATGCCGTTGTTCCAGCAAATTTACCTGCATGGCATATGCCCGTCTTCAAAAGAAATCGGCAGAAAATTTTAATTTAAATTAGTGTGGTCTTCTAGAGGTCAAGGATTAAAACTGTGTGACCCTACTCTAGGCCTGGAAATAAGATGCCTATCAATTAAGCTACAAGCCATGTATAAACTCAAGCAATGTGAGGGACAATTTTTCTGGCATCATATTGATATTTTTTTTATGGATGTCCAGCACATAGTTCAATATATTAGCATGGGCGTCACACATGGGGGGGTCCGACCCCCCCAATTGTTTTTCTGGGGGGGGGGGGGGTCTGAATATACTTGGACCCCCCCCCCCCCCCCCCCCGAAAAATTTTACATAAGCCCAAATTCCTATTTATTTACAACAATTATTAGGATTAGTTAAGATTCTATCTGTATAAAACCTGTACATATCCCAATATGGTTTATACTGCAAAAATAAAACACATAGAGAATCATCCTGGAAACATGTGTGAAGTGAAAAGTACCTGTGTTCCATAAAATTGTGTCTAGTTAGCCTGTCAGTAATATTTTGTTAATTTTTTTCTGCCACTTATCAGAGTGAATCGCATGTAGGTACCCAAAAACATAACCGCCTAAACCAAATATTTATCGCCCGCTCAGCCAGCAACGTAACCATAATGCTTTTGCACACGGTGTCTTGGACAGCATGGCCACATAGTGTTTGTTTATATTTTTTAGGGGTTTTAAAAAATGGGTTAGGGTTAGGGGTTAGGTATACTTTCAACAGTGCTGGACATTTTATTTCCAGAGCTGATCAACTCAGTTTCCAATTGAAATAAAATGGAATGTAGTAGTGACAGCCGAAATAGTAAAAAAACCTAAACTTCGATAGTGAAAAAATCTTGTAAGATAAATTCAACAGTTGATATATAATTACTGAAACTATTAGAAGGTAAGTTTCCACTTTGTAAATAGGACAGACTCAAAATGCTAACAAGGGCGTATTATCTCTTCAAGCCATTTTATGTGTTAATTATGCTCAAATGGATGTATATGTACTTACACATAGGCATCTGTCACAGGTTTCTTTTCGGGTTTTTCCTCATCTTTACTTGAAGAGGCCTCATGATGAGATAGCGATCGTTTAGTTCTAATTGTAGCAAAATCAAATATTTCTCTTGTAGGAATACTGTCTTCTCTTTCTGGTGGTGAATGTATGGGTGAGGAATGTCTTTGAAGTTTTGAACTTGCAACTTTTGAATGTACTGTTGTTCCGTTTTCTTTTGTTGATGGGAAACTAAATATTTCGGTTTTTAACATGTCCAAATCATCTGATATTGTTACACCATTTCTATTTCTTTGAAAGTTCGCAGGAGATGATATATTGGAACCGTATCCCACAAGCTTTGGACCATACAGGACCATGTAACATGGATTATGACAGTATGGTAGACCTTTATGCTGAAATTTAAGAAAAAAAGATTTAGGTGAATTATGATCCAAATTGGGGTAAAATGTAAAAATTGTACTAGTATACATCTTGTTATATCCAAATTTGTAAGGTTCTGATTCAAACGGAAATGAACATATGGCATTCTCGGCATTCTCTGAAACAAGAAGAAAATTTTAATGGCTGATATTGAATGAAATATGTTCATCTTTTAGGTGTTATATGAAATAAGTTAAAAATCAAAACTGCATGGTAATTAGGCCTTACATGCAGTAAGTAAGTAACGTACATCTATTTTTAAAAAAAATTAAAACCCATTATAACTCATGTAATGATCTTTTGTCTGTAGTTTGACTAGCCAAGTATTCAGTAAACTAAACTCATATTTAAATATGTGGATAAATAATAGAAGTCGAGTGAACAATCTCTTTCAGTTCAGAATTTGTGGTCAATGTCACTCAGAATTTGACTCCTAATATGAACCAAAACGAAAATACCTGGGCGACTCTGATATTAACTCAACTGATTCCAAATACGATCCGAAAGCTAAATGTTTCAAATCAGTCAGTTCAGATTCAGGTGGGAATCAAACACTTCTATTGTGGAACCCCCCGGGTAAAATTCAGGACAGGATCTAAAAATAATTTGGGGGGGGGGGGGGGTTGGGCGAATGATTAGCACGTTCGCATTTTATCATAAGGTCTGTCATTGAGTCAACTGGTGTGGTTTGATTCCTCGGTTGTACGTGACAAGGAGTAGGGTCGCCTGTTTAACCTCGTGGGTTTTCTCCAGGTCCTGCAATTTCCTCCCAATGCTAAAGACCCCTAACGCAAGCAAATTATTGAAATAAAATTAAACCATATGTTAGTCCCGAAATGACCTAGTTTGTGTCGAGTGAACGTTAAACCCCATTTCTCCCTCTCTCCCTAAAAATAATTTAACAAACTAAGTTTTAAAAAATGACAAATATATAAAACTATTTGGTCACTCTATGGACCCCCCCTCCCCTAAAAAAAAAAACCCTGAAATATCCAGCCCGCAGTATTTCAAAGTTCAACACCAGGTTTAGAATTTCTTTTTGAAGTAAACCTTGAGCTACTAATGAACAATAATGAACTTGACAGTCCTGACATCAACAACATGCTAAGCTTGGATTGCATACTAATGTAGCCCCAAATGAATTTGTATAAATACATATAGCCCAAACAGTAAGATCTTCAGCTGTTTACATTTGAAAAAGTGATTTAAATATTTCAACGATGAAATGGGGTTTAACGTCCTAAAATATTTCAAAGACAATGGTACTTCCATTTTAAAAGATAGAACAACTCAAGCCTTAAAGCTATGTATCAGTCTGGTATTAGTATTTTTTTAGCCTATCAAATGAAATCAACACCATTAGAACCATGTGACAGATAATCATCTGGTACTAATATTTACAGTCATACAGGAATTGTTTACAACTGATGGGCAGAGGACATGTCCAGACAAACAAAATATGTAGCAATATATGGATTGACAATGAGGGCATTTTTTTAGTGAATTAAAATTCATATTCTTTGTTATACATAAAATTGAATTTCTTACATTTTGTCTTATCAACCTATTGTTTTAGCAACATAAATGATTTTGATAAAACATTTTAAGTGTTACTTCTGCCTTGATTTGATATATGCCACCACAAATGAAAGATAGTGGTACATTAATATTTATTATACGTGACAAGTTACTGGAGTGAATGTTGTCGGTGACACATAAGTAAAATAAAGAAGAAATGATTTATATGTGATTTAGAATCTAATATACAAGAGCTATAACATCTAGGGTCATGATTTATTTATATAGAGAAAATATTTCTGATGTCTATGTTAAGATTGTACACACAATGTGACCTATAATTGTAAATTGACTATTCTGTGTGCTGTGAAAGTATTGATTTGTTCTTCAGTACAAGCAGCCTGAAGACACTAATAAACTCTGCATAATAAAGGATAAGAACTAAATTTTTTATCATCACCACATTAAAAAGACACTGGATGTTTTGAGATAAGTTACATTATTAGCGTACAGACATAAACAAAACAAATATCTAACCACATTTATTAGTTGGCCACTATACATGTACATGAGAACCTTCTGCTACTCGTTCAAATTCAATTGATTTCATGTATATTTAAATAATGAATATAATAGAAATATGTTTAACATCTTGTGGAGATTGTAATATCTGTTTCTATGGTTATTTGTGAAATGCAGGGCTGGAATTTTCCCAGAAGAGCATTGTTTTTGCTTACTCTTCTTCTAAGTATAACTGCAAGGAATCTTTTATGTAATTAATAGAAAGGGAATGAATAATATCTTGTCAGTAATTAGAGGGTCAAATTTCAGTCTAATTAAAATAAGATTACTTCTTTTCGTTTCATTTTGTGTTTACTATTGTGTTAGCCTTTATACTACATACAGTCTAACAACATCTTTGAGTTCAATTGACCTGTACTAAGCGATCTTTAAGCCAATGAAGAGATGCTTTATATATGTTGATTTGTGCAGTACACATAAGGGTCACCAAACTTAATTTTTAAAATCAGGATGGACTATATATCTATTAGAACTATAATCAAATTAGTCAAATTTGATATTTTTGTGCTGTGGAAAAAAGTCAAAATAGAAACACAGAATGTATATCTTTTTTTACACAGAATGGAAAAGGTTATTTTCCTGAATTGACCCCATAAAGCCAACGTGGCAGACAGTGTGTGACCGAGAAGTATACATGTAGGTAGAGTATAAGTAACATGTAGATGAAATAATGACCTGTATGTACATTGTATGTGGTACATGTTTTTATATATGTTGAGTTGATTATAGCTAGTAAAGGTTAAACCATGAGATGATAAACTACATATATTATAGAACTTGTCCATTTAGGCTTTGGGGGGTGAAAATAGAGTAATTGGATGATTAGTAGCATATTCCATCTGGTTACCTCCATGTTAACCAGCACACAATCTGTCCATACAAACTGTCTATAAATCAGGCATTTCTAACTTATAAAATCATAAAATGAAATTTTAATCTGTCAAAATTTATTTTCCTAAATATAACCTTGTATGATAGAACTAACATTCCTATGCCTTCAGCGCTAATACATGATTTATTTTTGGAACAGACACTGGTCCCCAAAGGCCCTACTGCTACTCATCTTGTTGCTGTTCATGATTAAACAATGACAACATTAATATATATAATAGACTTTTTTTAATATGAATCCATGCTTCTTTTTTTTATTGTGACAATATTTCATGTTTTTAAAAAAGCAGGGAAATATATGTATATGCCGGACAGCTACAGGTTACCTTAAATCAGCCTGCATGTATCAATATTTAAGTAACATTCTTATCACAAAACCTTACCACAAATTCAATGTTTGCTACGACCTAGTACAAATACTACCAATTGGTAAAGATAACATGCTTGGTCGAAGATGTTTGTATTTCTGGACTTAAAGACATGATGAAAATGAAAGGTGAGAGTAGGTTTAACCAGATGTATTAGTGGACAGGCATCGAGTGGGCATAAATTAAACAGGTAGCCTACTGGCTGGTAGTCAATCAAAGTTGAATGCTGTGCAACTTAAAATTAAATCTTATTAACATCTGAGAAAGTCAAGTAAAATGTTTTTTAATATGTTTTTTTCTTATATTCTGTATTTAATATTTTTTAAAGTTTTATCAGTGTGTCATATTCTGTCTAATTACTGTATACATACAACCAAGGAAATGCTGAATTCTCAAAATGTTTTAGTTAAGTTTTTTGTGAATAAGGTACCAGAAGGATAAAGACGAAATGAAATAAAGATATAATTATAATTCCATTCAAATAATTCAGTGTACAGATAGATGCTTCATACGGTCAAGAGAAACTTGTTGAGGTACTTAAGTAGGTTCTCTTACAGATACAGATCCAGTTAAAATAGCTACTAAATGATGATATTACTCAGTTTTTTGTAGTTATGTTATAAATTTAAGCAGGAAACATTTATTGAAATTTTGTGATGATATTGAAAACTATCAAAATAAAAATGTATGGTTTAGAACGATGTAGGATTTTGGAATTGTTTATCATGGCATATCCATGGAATTAAACATCCTTTCAACACAACCAGATCATATGGTAAATCCTCATCCTGCTTCTGTGAATTACTTTCACAAATGGAATCTTGAGCAAGCAGTAGCACTGGCAAAACTCACCTACTGCCGTGTACAATTGAACCCACAACCACACTGATTCAAAGTACAACACTTGACTACCAATCTCGTGCTAAGCGTGCTCCCTAAGATCTACAAATATTTGCATTAAGCTAAGAGAATATTACCTCAGCATGTTTACCAGGAGTTAGAACTCTTTTACACTCTTCACATCGTAAACAGGTTGGATGCCAGTGGACACCTAAAGATGTTTTTCTCTCGGCTGAAGAAAAAAAAAAAAAATCTTTTAGACATTTTGTCAAAAACCTCTAAATGTCAATCCTGCAATACTGTGAAACAAGAAATCAATGTGTTAACTGCAATATATCACTAGATACATTAATTTCAATATGTATGCTTTTCCTCTTGAATTATTTCATTTTTTTTTTTATAGATTCTCTTAATACGGATGCACATTCATGGATTCACCAGCTGGTGGGACTGTGTGATAATTTTAAAAAAAATTAATATCAATTCCACTCTTTGATTGGATGAACCCCTCAAAATGGATTCCAGGGGCCATCACCCCCTCTGCTTTCCTACACACCACTGTGACACATTTATAGGGAATCATCTTTCCTGTGATGACTTTTGGATTATTACAGCCACACAATTTTATGATGCTTAAAGGGCAATTGATCCATAACCCTGACCCACAAATTCAAGATGGACATGTCAATATAAAATCATTGACTGTAGGTGTGACAGCAACATATACGATTTTTGACCTTGAGTATGCATTAGTGGAATTAATTATCTCCACCAGATAACAAAAAAACTGTTATGTTTGTCTGGTTACTTTAAACTACCACTCATGTAGAACACCAACTGTTTTCTCACTTTGACCTTGTGACCTGTGTCTTCTCACACTGTCATACAGATTGGTATACCACTTATCTGAAATGTTTTCTACTTAAGTCATTCTTCTACACATCCATCACATGGGGAATTAGCTGGTCATGGTCATGGATCAACAATATTAAAGGTCATTATTTTAAAATCATATACTCAAAAAATGTTTAACATGTTCTATCATATACGCAATATTTCTTCTTGAAGGTTATGTCATGCTCAGATAAAGACTATCAACTAGTCATAGTAATTAGATTTCAATCGGGTCTGAGTCACAGATCTTCATTTGATGTTATGTGTCACAGACTAAACCAGTAAATAATCAATGATTTTTACGTTAAAACAGTTTATTTTACAACTGGGAACATTAAATAAAATATATATTGATTAGCAGCTCCTATTTGTTATCCAACATTTGACTGGGGAATATACAAATACTACATGTACTCAGTGAATATATATTTATCGCTGAAATACATATGTTACGTGTCTTGCTAGATACATCGAGGTAAAGGCCCCTGCACACACAACAGATTAATTGGCGCCAACAGCCCAATTTCTCATTGAGAACAATCTGTCAGGAAAATCATGCAGTGCACATCACACAGATTTTCCGTCATGGATTGCATGATAATAACCTATCGCTATCATTGTTGTGACAATGTTTAAGTGTTCACCTTTATTACAATTGAATTAAAACGCAGATCTATATTTATTGGTTTTGTTTTTTGGACTTCCGATGGCCTCCACCACATCAAGATTTGACAGGCTCCAGTGGAAGTCTGTCATTCGATTAATCAATCAGCGTCAGTGTTACACGTGGGTATACGAAAATAGAACTTTTGATTTCATTTGTTTTATATCGGTCCACGGATCCTTGTGTAGTGAAGACAAGTAAAACCAAATTTTGAACTATAAAAAACGAAACAAAATAAGATCTGTGTTTTGATCAGAATGCCCATACTAAAATCTGCTATCAAAGTGTGCATTTGAACATTTATTTGGCAACCCAGATGATTTGAAAGTGAGAGATTGTCTGGCAGTAGTGTAAACTTGTATATATGAGATGAAACAGTAGGGACAACCTGTTAGGTTTTAATATTTATCACAGACCATCAGTGTTGAAAATTGTTGAGAAAATCATTGAAACAATGCACGTATAGCTGCCAGTATGAATGATGTGTCATCACAACTGATGTCTTCAGACATGAGAATGCTTTTAGCAGGTTTCCAGTAAGGCCCATGGACTAACTTAATAGTCACTCTTCCAATATCAAAGACATAGATTTCATTGATGCAACGCATATCTTATATTATGTTGGAATAGGAACCAGGTGGAACTCAGGTCCTGTTTTTGGAGAGGGGTAAGTCCAAACCTGATCATTACCTTCGAAGAACATCACCCACAAGAAGAAGAACAACAAGGTAATTAGCACCTTGGGCCCAGTTCCTGATTCTAAAATGGCACATTTGAGGGCATACCAGTGTTACTCATGGCAGTTTATTTCTTAAAATAAAAAACCCTTAATAATTAAACACATTTTTTGTTAGAGGTGGATCTAAAATTTGTCTGGAGTGTTAACATTTCTTTTCAGTAAATATTTGTATTTGTTTGAAACAATCTACACAATGATTACTTTAAAACTACATGTATACAAAGCTGCAGCAACAAACAGGTTTTAAATCTATTGACATTAATTAGCCTGTATTTGTTTCTTTTAAACAATCTTCAAGTCATGTTAATCTTATTTTCAAACAATACAGTTTCATCGGCTTGACGGAGAAATCTGAAAACGGGTGTCACTCTGCAGTGTACAGCTGATTATGTAAGAAATGAATACGTAAATGTTTTTAACCAATCAATAGAAGTAGTTGTAAAGTGCAAATATTTTAATTTGTAAAACTGCTTGCAGAAACTTATGCCATTTACCCCAAATTTTTTTTAAATATTTACTATATTATCTTTAACTGGCACCAACATATGTATACATGAACTACGTACGTATTAATGGAATGAATGAATGAAATGGATAATCAAGACCATGTTTTTTTGTCGTACCGATTTTAGTAATGATGATTGAGGCTGGGCCTAAAATTCAAATGCTAATATCTCGGTTCAGAGTGGGGCAATTTAACTGAAATTTTCAGCATATTTCCTCTACATTATCTAGTTTTTAACTATTATAGTGAGAACTGCCAGCTATTTATCTATCTTTCATAATGCCCCTTTAATGACCAGCCTCACCATGGAACAACATGCCTCAAACAAATAACACAGGACCATTGAACGGTCAGATTGATTAAACTGTCATATCAAGGAGCTAATATAGAGGAGGTTTGTATCAAAAACATATGAGGTGAGTTTATATACATGTACCCAGATACCGTAATCTCTCAAAATAGATTGACTCATATCTAAACAATCTTTTATATCATATATCAGTTTACATGTTTAATTTCATCTTATTTAATCATCTTATATAAATTATAGTCATATACTATACATATTGAAGCAGTATAAGGCAATAAAAAAGTTATATTTGAAATGGTTCAACTTCAATTAATCACTATTATATGCCTGCAATAAAAATTATTGTCAAGTTGTTAACCCAGTTGGATCATTTGGTCCCATTTAAATGCAGGTGACCAAGTAGACTGGAAACAAAATGAAATGGGGTGCTACTTTTCTGCACCAACTAAGCTAATGAATATAGGTCTATTCAATATGTATTTCAATTAAACTTTATTAATGTTTTGATGTTTAGCCAATGCTGAAAAATTACACATGTTGGTTTATACAATAAACTTTCATTAACTTACTAAAGTGGTGGGGAGTTTGACATTAAACCAAATATCCCAACCCAAGTCAATGCTTTATTTTGACCTAATTATTGCATTAAAACGTCACGATCTGTCTTTCACAGCAATCCAGCCCGTATTTGTAAAGGAATGGAATTTAACTTCTTCTCAACACAATACAATCATGTACTTCGTCATTTTGTCACTTATATACTGTAAGTTTTGTCTATTGTCACATGATAATTTTACCCAGACAGCAACATTTCTTCTCATTCTTCACTAAATTCCTATAGTCTCAAGGGATCTTCTATGTTTAGAACAATATGTATTATCTAATCCAAAAGACTAGACACCCACCCAGAGTGGGAGAGTATAAAACTGTATAGGGGGTTACAATTCTTACAATAATTATCTCAAGAGCCAACTCAAATCCCCCCAAAAAAATCTGATATCCTGATTTCAAAATTTTGAGATCCAAAAGTAGAGGTATTAAGAATCTAATTCAGATAAAGTTAATGCAGAATTATCACAATGTTTAAATTGATTTATTAAGATACAATCATGATCTAGATTCAGCGCTTTTGGGATTTGGATATTATTATGTTGCTATAACATTCTGAATACAGCCAGATCATGTAGATCTAGTCTAATAATTAACATAAATAATTTATTATACAGGTATTTTTGTCACGTAATGAAATCCCTTGGCAGTAATGTTTTCATTCAATAAACTACACTATCTGAAAAGGGTTATTCACCAAGTGGTAAGTATTGATTGATCAAGAAAATTTAGCATGTACCTTGACGAGGACCCGCAGTGCTTTCTAGAAAATAAGATAATTAAAGCAAACAATAAAGGTGAATCCATTTCCTCTGAGTCTTCACTTGAACAATATAAAAAAAATAAAGCTGTTTTTTTGCAAGATGTTTGTGGAAAGGAATACAAAATCAATGCCTATAGGTTTAATTTAATAATATGACTTTGATACTAGCTGAATTACATTCATCATGTATTTTGAACAAAGATGTTTGTGGAAAGGAATACAAAATCAATGCCTATAGGTTTAATTTAATAATATGACTTTGATACTAGCTGAATTACATTCATCATGTATTTTGAACAAAGGTGATAAAAAACAAAGTCCATTTTATTTAAAGAGGTATTATTCAAGAGCTAAATCTGCCCATTGCAGGTCTTTCTTTAGGGCGTAAATGTTATATAAATTATTAATTTGACATTTATTAACGTGAAGGAACCATAATCAACCCTTGATGCCATCGGATGACTTCAATTTTAAGTATATTAGAATGGTTAGGCCATTTAATGATGTAATTTAAAAATGGAGAAGTGAGGCTAAGCCTTAAACAACCAGTACCGTGATTATGATAATAAACAATCAATGTACACATCTTTGTCAGAACTACAAATATTGATGACTTTGCTTAGAATAAAGTAAATTAAATGAATTTTTCAATATATTCATTTTGCATTATCTATTTTTGAACTATGATAGTAAGAACGGCCAGTTCTTTATTATTATTATTATTCAAGAGCTAAATCTGCCCATTGCA